TTTTAGCAATCGAATAAGTTTAGGACTTTGCACTACTAACTATCTCTTCCAATTATTTAATCAGTGCTTTATGTACCAAACCCTTTTTTGGTTTTCATTTCTCACGTTAGGTCAACATCATTAACTAGTAACCTACAATGGATTTGTTTTAGCATCAGTGCCTATAGCTTCCGGAAGCATATATATAGTCACACAACTCTGGGGCACATGTTTATAAAAATGTACACCCCTCTAGGAAATGCATCATACCGCAATTGTTGCCTAGAGGTAAATGCTTTCAAACGATTTGTAGTGCATTTAACATTATTTGCACCTTTCCGTGCCCGCGTTTTAGCTCAAATATCTGTTCATACAGACATATATATACGAGTATACATGGATTATGTTACATACATACCATATGTGTCCATTTGTATCTCGCACGCAATGATGCGATGTGTGACAGCGTCGGAATTTATCCTGTGGGATTTACTTTATTTCTCTATTTAATATGAAAATACATAAAAGGCGCTAAATTAAGCTACTAGGAATACAAAATTTACTCTTAATGCACCGTTAAACACGGGACTATCTGCGAGGGGCGTCAACTATGAATATTTGCTGCTGGTGGCTGAGCGGGTGTGTGTTGCTCTGAACCTCACTAAATGCGAAACTTGTTCACGAGGTTTCATGAGGACACAAAGTGAATGGTTAGGTTCCTGCGGCTATTTATTTCGGCTGAACGGTATGCAAATAGACTTTAATCAATTTTATATGTATTTGTGACAGTTGCTAGTCTGAACTTATCCAAATCATTTTTTCATTTCAATTTCACACGCTTTGTATATAATTCCGTTTTTGATTAAAATATAAAAAAAATTAATACAGACAAATTCTGTTTTTTTTTAATGTTACAATGAACCAATATGAGTCTGTGGAAGTGAAAACGATTTCTTAGTGTCCTGTCTCATAGTTGCACTATTATGCAAGTATCTCTTATAGTGTCTACACTGTGATGACTCACATGTACCTTTACATAGTGCTCATAATATGCTTAATAGCTCCTTGTATACATATAAAGTGCCATTCACTACTCTGTTTTGCAGTCCGTTAACTTTAAGACAATTGGTGGTAAGAATTTTAACAGAAATTTAACAAAAAGCTTAAAACCTTAAGATATAAGGTTATACTTCTTATATGGTTTCAAATTGATTTAATTAAAAAATTTATTTAAGAAATAAGTTTGACGTTCTGACATTCACTCATTTATTTGTTAGACTGCAAATCAACGGGCTAGCAGGTTAAACTAGCAGTACTCATCTTTTTTGAAAGAAGGTAACTTCTATCGGTAACGCCTTGTAGTAGTTAAAGATAGTCATCATTACAGACAATAACTACTACATTCTTGAGGTAGGAGTGGAATAAATTGACTTCTGTTTTATAGGTTAAAAGTGGTCGAATACGAGTTTTTTGTACCTTTAATGGTAGGCTAAGCAGAAAGAGATGAAAAACTTGACAAAAAGAAGCAATAGTGGTATATGGTTAAAAAGTAAACGTCTGATGACTGGTTGTGCGGCAATATCACAAGCAACGCAGTCTACTAATGTAACGGACAAGACGCAATCTTTAAGTCAAATTTGGGCAGGTAATATGTCTTAAATAAAGAAGATGCGTCAGATCTAATTTGGTAGCAATTTTTAGATATGAATAATATCGTAACCAAATATAATTCGTTATTACAGGTTAACAACATCGCTAATATTAATCTGGAGCAACGGCGGTTTGTTTTTTAGTTATTAATTGAGCTAATTTGAATACTGTATGCTTGTGTCAGTCTGCCATTTGAAGTCCAACAAATTATATGTGGACTATGATGACTATACCTTACAATACTCGAAACATAGTTGCTTTGTCAGCCAAATTTCAATAAATTAACTAAAATTTTTGTTGTTGTCTTTTCATTACCATTCGAACCCTTCTAATAGTTTATTATCGTCATAAGACGCGTCACTTTTGACAAAAAAAATTAACATTAAATACTTATTGGTTGAAAAATTACTAAGTGATTCTTACTCTAACTTTGGAATGAAAAGAATTAGTTCACATCTAGACTTTTATTAACCCGTAACAAAAGTATACAATACATAAGTCCCTCCATAAATATTATATAGTTTGTTATATTAAAAATATTTTGTTTTCGATAAAACCAAAAACCATTAAAAACATCGTAATTTTGCTTATTATAGTAAGTTTATAGCAATAAACTCGCTGCGAAATAAAAATATTAAGAAAATTATCAACAACGTCAGCTGAACAAAAATAACTAATAAGCGACATAAAACGAAAAGAACGGAAATTGTCTCCCAATTGGAAAATGTTCCAAAGTTTCACTCTTTGAATTTCTAATTTTAATTCTAAAACTTTTATTGTATGACATTGACAGCATTGCCAGATACAAAAACTTCAGTTTCAACTATAACAATGACACCGCATGCAGCAGCAAAAACAACAATAAAGAAAGAAACTGCAATAACAACAACACAACAACACAACAACAACGAAATGCATTGCAAATTAATGAGCAAAGTTCCTTGAAGTTGCTGCGGCTTGAATTTGAAATCAAAAGGACCGCAAATACAGTTAAAGTTGCAAATACGCATACATACACACGCACACATGCGAAAAGAGTGCAGTTGTTGCGTGCTTTTTTCAGTTATGAACCAAAATACCCAAATACAAGATACGAAAACCAATTCGCTGTTGAGCACATCGCACACATACTATCACACACACACACACACACACACACGTACACAAAATCATAAAAACAAACAGAAAATACAAAATGAAAACTTATTGTGGCATTAAGGCATACGCTAGGACAGAAGGACGCAAGTAGACACATGTTTCATACACGGTTCTCTTGCCAGTGTGCGTGCATGTTTGGCAACGCTGATGCATTCATGTAGACTTAAAACCACAAGCAAATAATGCAACAATACGTAAAACACAAAAGTATGAAAGACAGAAACAGAAACAAAAAACAAAGCCAAACCGAAAAAACAAAAACAAAAACAAAAAAGAACGAAACGAAAATGCAACTTGTTAACTTCACAGTGATAGCACATACCCATACACAGACACAATAGCACACAATAGCAAGGCGCTCAAGAAAGCTGAAGAAGCGCTTAGCGGAATAATGATGGCGTGTACGTATGTATACAAAATTGAAGTTTGAGTTTTGATTGCAAACAGACGTACATCAAGCAAACCAAATAAGGCAACTGAAAAAGTGGAAGAAAAATAAAGTAACAACCAGGAGTCAATCAATCGCTGAAACAAATGGAATTGAAATCGCGCATACGTCATGTTGCCCGTCGCATACTTAATGCGATTAAAATACGTAATCCAACGGCGCTTTACCATCATTTGCTTGCGATTTTTGATTTGGAAGTTTTTAGTTTTTCACGGAAAATTCGAAAATTCTTTTGAGACAATTTCAATTTGTTAACAATTTAAAATCAATTTTATTTTATCATAGTAAAATATATCAGATAACTAAATTTTGCAATCAATTTGTAGTTCTCTATATTTTATTTTAATATTTGAAATTTGAAGAATTGAAGCATTAACGGATTTTAGTGTGTTCTCTGACACTCTCAAACAATCCAAGCAAATCTACACTATTACATTAGATTATTCCAATTAACTTATTTTCGCAATTAGTTCAGTACTTGTTAAACAAGCACAGAAATGTTAAACATAATTTAGTTATTAAGGTAAATTTTTTCTTGCCGATAATGGCGTGTCTTTTAATGACGAAAGAAACTATTTAAACTATTTAAACTATTTATTGAAACTATTTAGAGATCGACATGTCTCTCATTTGGTATTTATGATTGAGTTTGTTTTCTCTACGAAAGACTACAGAAATGAATTTTATCAAAATCATTACTTTCACCACAAAATTTGAACAAAAAAATGGTTCTAATCACAAATTAATTTATATGAAATTCAAAGATCCTTAACAAAAATTGCTTGCTGGCAATTCATTAAATGCTGGTTACTCAACTAAGTTATGCTTTTCCACACATTATCTCAAATTGTTTGGATTAAAATTACAAAATAAAGTACATACGAGTATAGTGAATAAACACATTGGTTAACTTAAGTTGATATATTCTCTTAAGGACATAACCACCTGAAAGTAAGCACATTACACACGTCTGAACGCACTCAGGTAACACAATTATTTATTTAAGTTTAAATACAACTAATGTATTCTTTTGTGTTAATTTAAATTTATGAGCCAGTTGAGATACTTTATCATATCAACACTTGTAGATTTGTACACATAACACCACAAAACAGAACTCAACTACATCTACAACTACAACTACAACTATGTATTGCACAAAAACAACAACAAAGCAGACATACTGAATTAATGGAACCCATAAACAAACTCAACTGATAATTTGATTGGTGGGCAGTGTTAAATTTGCTAACAAGACGACAGGACGTATGAGTATAACTGTTACCAATTTACATATTAACAAACAGCACTCCGAAATCAGCAACAAAATAACAACAAAAATATTGAATAAAATAAACTTTAATAAACCACAAACATGAGGGCGAGTAATGAATTAAGCAAAGCAAAGCAAAGCAAACTGACGCAGAGCAAAGCAGAGCGGAGCGAAGCGAAGTTAAGCATAACTAACTCAGCTCCGCAGAGGTAGGTGTCATCTAACAAATTGGAATTAACAGTGATGTATACATATACATATACATACACATATGCGCTCACTTCAGTTATAGAGAACCGCAAACAGTGCTTTTATTTGCAGACATCAGCACACGCACGCCTCCACATTTGGCGTGCTGTAACAAAATATTGTAAAATAATTTACACACAGAT